GAGTTCGTGGCACTATGTAGTAGATCAGAAGGTGGTAAGTGGATGCTGAAATATAAAGCAAGGAAAGGAATAGAGCATGGTGGTGCTCCATACAATATGGCTGCTGACCAAGGAGTTTACATTTAAGGTGGAGGATGTCCAACAATCCTTATCTCACAGCCCTTTCACCCGGATAGATGGTTGATAGATACATAGGTGATAGATAGATAGACAGGTAGATGTGATGGAGTTGACTCTCAGTCACAGTGACTCTACATACAACAAGAAGAAAGGTTACCTGACCCTGGGTCATCCTCATGATTGCCCCCAAGTTCAAGTCCATCCTCACAGCCATTGTATCAATTAAATTCACTGAGAGTATCCCTCGCCCTTGTACCCCTCCACTTCACCAAACACAATGTCCGTCTCTAGTGATTGTCCTTCTGAGGACAAGTCCAAAGCAAGAGAGTCAGGTGATGGTTTCCTGGGATCCATAAAGCTCTCATTGGCTAATTTTTGGGACTAGATCACCAGGGTCTTTTACTTGATCTAGAAGCTTCTCTGAAACCTATCCACCATGGGTGACCCTGCTGGTATTTTAAATACAGCAAATCCTCACATTACAAACATTCCACTTGCAGACAACTAGACAATTACTTGCCTCTTGATGTTATGCAAGTTTGTCCTCATTTTGAAAGATTGAACCAACCCCTATAGGCAACAAATTCTTCATCATAATTGGCTTCACTTGCTGCATGTACAGCTTTTAAGGGAAAGGCTTCGAGTCTTTTCTTGCCCTAAAGTAAGAAGTAGAACCCTATGCACCTATTCTGACTTACCTTAAAAAGCAGACTTAGGAACAGTTCTCTTCTGTAACCTAGGGCGTGCCGGTCCCAGTGGCGTGTCTTCCAGCATCCCAGCAATACACAAGCCACCACAGTATGACAAACTGACAGACTGTTGGCAAAGACAGGTGGTGGCCTAGCCTATGGACGACTCAGTTATGGCACTAGCTAAGAGATTACATGCTGTATGTTTGGGTGTTGTCGTCACATGTAGTATGTGCCTGTGAACTAGGAGTGGAAGTGACAGTGTCTCCTCACACTGTTACATCCAAGAACGCACCTGAGAGATTGTTTTTCCATCCCTGTAACCCTGGGCTCATTAGATTTCAAGATCCTCGTATCCAAGGAAGTTCCTGTTATCCTAGGAAATAGGGTTCTGCTAAGTTTGAGACTACCTCTTGACCATTTTGAGTTCTTCATTCAAAGAACTGGTGGTGAGAGAAAGGGTTACAATACTGGCTCGGTTAATAATTTATTCGGATGACCTAGGCAAAGATTTGTAGCTGCTCAAAATGGGATCCAGGAAGACTATGTCTAGAACTTCGGGGATTCATTTGGGCACCTCTTTGTATCTTTTTGTCCAATAACAATGGTCAGCGAGAAACTGCGGCAACTGATAAAGACAGGACCATTAAAGACATCAAAAAGGAATGACTGCAGAAATGAAGGTTTAGATCACATTTCTCCCCCGTGTAAAAAAACCCCACTAAACAGGGTGCCAGCAGAGTGGAAGAGAACCGGAATGTGTGGGGGAAAGAAGGAAGTTGTAGTTATTAACTGCGGCCTTGTATTTAGCTGTAGAAGTGGAGACTATTAGCAGCCATGCTTTATGTTACTTCCTCCAAAGAACAAAAATGTGCTACCGTTGATCATGATCCAACTTATGGAGACTCCATGTGTTACAGAGCAGAACTGCTCCATAGGATCCCCACGGCTGTAATTGTTATGGAAACAGATCATTGGGTGGGTTTGAACTGCTAGGTTAGCAGTTGACTGCAGATAATTTCTGCGGCCCCAGGGACTTTAATCCCTCAGCAGCACCACCTGCAAATCATATACAATGCACTAACGGTGGGTGGCTAATGTCACAATTTAGGAGCTCTGGTGGCATAGTGCCTAAGGCATTTATTTGACTGCTAACCAGAAGGCTGGCGGTTCAAACCCACCGGCCACTCCTCGGAAGGAAGGTTGGGCAATCTACTTCCATAGTGATACCGCCTTGGAAACCCAAGGAGGGGTCACTATGAGTCGGGTCCGACTCGACGGCACATAACAACAACAACAACAGCGTCACAATTTAGGTTTGAGGTGGGAGTATGACATTACATGGCAGCTGGTGGTAATTTGCGTTTCATTTATGATGGGGATGTGAATATTTTTCATCCAAAGTGCAAAGATGAATGCAGAGGGCTAAAGGGGTGGACTGTACTAGTTATTCTCAGTTTGCCCCTCTAGATCCATTTTCTGCTTTACCCTACCCCACTCTGGTCCAGGCTGACCACCATGGATGACATCAGCCAGGCTGCCTGCTGTCTGGCCTCTGGTTAGTTTGGCCAGTAGGAGTCACCAGCAAGAAACTGGACTGCAGAAGAACTTCCATCCCTCTCTCCCTTCCTACTGGGCCAAAGTTTCAACAGCTGCTGTGTTCCTCTACTGACATCCATGGTTCTTGCTGGTGGCCCCTTCTATGAATACAGCAGTCAATGAGTTCTGGTAATGGTGCTTGCTCTCCTTGGTCCTTAAAGACCAGGCGTGCTAAAAGCTTTCTATTTTATGTTTTTTATTGGTGATTATTTAAATTTCTATTGTGTATTTTTTTAAAAAAGTTGTGATTTTGGTGAAAGTTTCCAGAGCAGGTTCATTTTCCATTCAACAGTTCATACACATTTGTTTCACGACATTGATGGCAATCCCCATAATGTAACAGCTCTCTTCACTTCCTCCCTGTGGTTACCTATCTCTTGGGTCCTCCTTCCCTGTGTATTCCTGCTCTCTATGTCCCTGGGAAAATGTTGCCCTTTTGATCCCCCATAAAAGTTTTCTATTTTGGCTAGTCCTGAGATACCTTCTGGGCCCCTGTAACCCAAAGTGTGGTCCCAGGCCATCAGCATAACCTGGGAACTACTTCACTACGGAAGTAGGATTGCCCAACCTTCCTTCCAAGGAGTGACTGGTGGGTTTGAACTGCCAGCCGTCTGGTTAGCAGGCAAGTGTCTTAGCCACTATGCTACCAGAGCTCCCTGGGAACTTGATAGAAATGCAAATTCTCAGCATCACCTTCCAGGTGATTCTGATGTTTCAACACCATTGTCATAACCCTCTTCATACCTTTCCATCCTTCTGTAAATAGTCCCTCCACTAACTTCTTTAATTATCCCTTTGCCTGCGCTGTTTTCTGTTGGGACCCTGGCCGATACAAGAATTTGTATATGGAGAATTTTGACCTGATAGGTTTGCATTTGATATCACTCTTTCTGGTTGCAGTCACTTGAGGGGTTAAGTGCTTTTTCAGAAGCCTGACAATCCTTGGCAAATGGGGAACTTCCCTTCAGAAGTTCCAGTTAGATGATAAGTGAACATGGCGGGGGTGACCCAGGAAGAGAGTGGGTGGTCACATGAGAAAAATGCCCATCATATTCCTTTCCAGGGGGTTCAGACTAGTCTTCTGGGTAAGCAAAGAAGCCCAGGGTTCCAGGTAGAAGTTCCACTCTGGAATAAATATGGCACACTTTACATGCGTGTCCTCTGGTATTCTGAACACAGAAGCAACGGGACAGGGTAAGGGACTCCAAGGAGACAGAGAGATTGCAGGTGACATTGGCAAGGGCATGATTAGGGGAAAAGAGACCCCAGATTCAAACAGGTTCAATAGAGACACTTTTATTAAGTCTTGGACCGAAGGAAGTGAAAACAAAGACAACCCTTCAGGATGAGGGAAACCATCAGCATAGAGTACAGAAAGCTGAATGGAGTCCGCTGAGTCATGGCCACGGGGCTAATTGTGTATGATTGCAAAAAAAGGGGAACCATCGCAAAACCATGATTGGTGGCAGATTGATTCACCATTGCAGACAGGGACTGCAGAAGGTGGTGGACAGGGCATGACTGGGATAGGTACGTAATTGAAGGGTCGGTTCCGGGCCTTGACTACCTGGCTAGGTGGTGGTCCAGAGAGACTGTGACTCATGACCAGGCAGCCCCTTTGATCACGAGGTGGCTGCAAAAATATTCCAAGACCCCAACCTTAATTTGAATTAGAAAAGGACGCTTTCAGGCAGGTTCCCAAGTTCTTTGTGACCACAATCTACTTTCAAATACTCTTCCTGAAGGCAAATCGCCCCTCCCTAGGCGTGTCCTGCAACTTGTCTGTGCATAGCCACAATGCTAGTTTAACGGTCAGCTAGAATTTAAGCTCTCATACATAGGTCATAAAGGCAAAGAAAGGATTTGCAACTTTGGATGAAAAAATGTTGCTGGCGGATTAATTTTGGTTAGGAATATCTTTAAAGTGAATATTAATTTTGTAAGAAAACTCCCAAACCAAACCAAGCTATATGGCATCATCCGTTTTTCTCTGACATAACCTTTCTAGTCCAAGACTTGACAGTTACTCACCTTGGACAGGTAAGTATTTCTGAGCCTCATTTTAGAAATCTTTAAAATGGGGTTACAATAGTGTCTATCTACCTAGGGCTGTTGTGGAGATAAAATAAGACAATGCACTTAAGTAAGTATTTAGCACAAGGATTGGCACATGGCTGACTCCATTGCGGGCCATTTTAACGCTCATTAAAATTATGGAGGTACCCAGAGCGCAGGCACCCGCCTGCTCCTCGCCCTGCGCAGGCTCGGCGCTCCGCTCCGCCCGAAGGTTTCTCACAACGTGCCCCTACGCATGCGTATTCTACAAGAACCCAGCTGGGCCAGAGGTGAAGGGGCTTGGTCTCCTCTGTACGCCTGCGCCGGGAGACGCCGTGCGTCGCGGGGGCGGGGCCGCGCAGGCGTGTTGGGTGTCCCGGCGCCAGAGCATAAACAAGAGCGGGGCCGGGATGAGGCGGCGGTTGATCCCCGAGCAGCGAGTGGTGGCGATCGCGGCGGCGAACGGGGCCCGCCGCCGACCCTGAGTGCAGCCCGACCCACCATCCAGCGCGTGAGCCCCAGCCGGCCGCCCCAGCCATGAACCTGGCCAGTCAGAGCGGCGAGGCCGGCTCTGGCCAGCTGCTCTTCGCCAACTTCAACCAAGACAACACGTACGGCGGGGCGGGGGTCGGAGGTCGGGGTCGGAGGTCGGGGCCCGGGCAGGCTGGCGGGGGGCGCGCGCCGTGCTGGGGCCGGGGTGTGGAAGCCGGGCCTTCGGGCCGAGACGGGAGAAGGCGTCCGCGGGGCGAGGCGGGAGGGTCCGCTCGGGGACCCTCGGGCGCTGCCTTGCACTTTCCGATGGAGACCGATGTCTTTCACCTCCTCACCGGAGGGCTTCTGTTTCCGACTTGGCTGCTCGCAAAGTTGGGACAGAACTTCGGTGGCCTGACTTGTGGGCGCCTCTGGGGAGGTGGGGGTCGGGTCCGTCCTTCTTGCCCTCCCCGCCTTCCCCTGCGCTCTCGTCCGCACGCCTTCTCCCCTGCCGGGCCCTTTCCTGCTTTTGTTAGGGTCCCTTCCCCCATTTCTGTTCTCCTTTCCTCCTTCCTCACTTTTCTCTGTGATAGATAACTTTCGTGTGGCAAGACGCAAGCGTAGCGCTCACGGCCGACCCCAGTTCTAGGGCGAGAGCCCGGGGGGCTGTTTCAGAGAAGGGTTGGTGCCCCGGAGGCTGGATCATCCAGCCTCCGTGGAGGACAGGACCCGGATGCCAGCCATGGATGGCACGCTGTCTGCCCAGAGGGCTGGGGGCAGGGGGTCACGCGGATTCTTCAGAGGCTGCCTCTGGTGACCTGTGAGGATGGTTGCTAGGTGAGGTTTCTGGGAAGGAAGGATGAGTTGTGGGGCTGGAAGGGAGAGCCATTTTGGGACGTGAGTAACAGGAAGTGATGTAAGAGGAGGAGTGGGCATTGGGCTTGACACGATGTCAGCAGTGGTTGGGTTGACTTTTGCCTGGTTGAGTGGCATTGGCAGAGAGAAGAAGGTTTCTGGGTTGTTTTTTTTTTTTTTTTAATTTAAAGTTAACTGTAGAATGGGGAGCGCCTTCCCAGAGTTGTGGGCCCAGTAGAAGGCAGTTGCAAAGTGGTTCTGTACTGAGAGTTGGAAGGAAGCTGATCACCTAGTCTGATCACCTGAAGTTCAGAGAGGTTCAGAGACATGCTTTGGTCTTAGAGTTGGTGGATGGCGGGTTAAGGACTAGAATCTCGTCTCCTGAGGTCTCTCTCAATGCTTTTTCCACACTGCCTCTGTTTTTTTCCTGCCTGTAGAGTAGGATTCTAGGAGCTCAGGTAGCATAGTGCCTAAGGCACTTGACTGCTAACCAGAAGGCTGGCGGGTTCAAACCCACCAGCCACTCCTTGGAAGGAAGGTTGGGCAATCTACTTCTGTAGTGATACTGCCTCGGAAACCCAAGGAGGGGTGGCTATGAGTCGAGGCCCACTCGATGGCACATAACAACAACAGAGTAGGATTCTGGGGGCGATGAACTTAGAAATTAGAATGATGACAGTACTCTATAAAGATTACTGTCATGGTCTGTATGACCAAAAGCCATTAAAAAATAAATAAATAATCCAGATAACCTGTTGGGTTCGTTGTAATTGGAATAGATGATATCGTATTAATCCAGGTAGAGAAACCAACTAGATGTTAAGCCTTTAATGAAGAGCCCTGGTGGTGCGGTAGTTAAGCACGTGGCTACTAACTGAAAGGTCAGTGGTTTGAACCCACCCGACTGCTCTGCAGGAGAAAAGACCTGACGTCTGGTCCCATAAAGATTACTGCCCGGGAACCCTATGGGACAGTTCAGCTCTGTCGTGGGGTTGCTGTGAGTCAGCATTAACTCAGTGGCACCAGCAATAACAAACCCTTAATGTTTTGAGACTAGTAAGAAAATAGGAGTCCCGGTGGCACAGTGGTTAAGCACTGGGCTGCTAACCAAAAAGTCGGCAGTTCAAACCCACCATCCCCTCTTTGGAAGAATGTGTGGCTGTCGGCTTCCATAAAGACTACAGCCTTGGAAACCCTATGGGGCAGTTCTACTCTGTCTGTAGGGGCACTCTGAGTCAGAATGGACTCCATGGCAGTGGGTTTGGTCTGGGCTTTGCTTCCGTGAAGGTTACAGCTTTGGAAACCCTGTGCAGCAGTTCTTTGTCCATATTTTCACTATGAGTCAGAATAGACTCATTGGGATTTTGGTTTCAAGAAATAGTAGTGTGGTTCTCTGTGCCTTTTATACATTAGAGGATCCTAAAACAGTTTCTACTACTCTGACTTTTTCACTACTTCTCACATGTTATTTATGTTGGAAGGAATTCAGATACAGGCAAGCGTTTTCTTTTGCTGCTGTTTCACATAGGCTCCCAAGGTCCCTGTGTAGAGGAGACTGCTGCCGCGTGTGGCCTGAAGTCGAGCCTTTCACCCTTGGAAACCACGCACCTCCCCACCTGTGAGTCCTGATGCTGTGAGTTCTAGGGAAGATTTCCCTGTCGTGATGTTGACTTACCAAGGAAACCTTGGTTTAGTATGAGCATAAATTAAGGAACAGTAAGTTAGGCTTCTGTTGGAGAAGATTATTGAATTAAGATGACTATGATTTGTTAAAAACCTACACTTAAAAGAGATAAAGAAGTACCTGAGGAGAGGTCTTGTGTATGTCATTTCCTCCCGGTGTCCAAAACTCATCAGACCCTCTGCGGCCAGTTGACTCTGACTCACAGCACCCCTAGAGGACAGAGCAGAACTGCCCACAGGGTCTCCAAGGCTGTCAACCTTCACGGAAGCAAAGCCCAACCCACACCCACTGCCTGGAGTCCATTCTGACCCACAGCGCCCCAGAGGACAGAGTGGAACTGCCCACAGGGTCTCCAAGGCTGTCAATCTTCACAGAAGCAAAGCCCAAACCACACCCACTGCCATGGAGTCCATTCTGACTCAGGACCCCCCTGGAGGACAGTGGAACTGCTTAAAGCCGATTGCCACATCTTTCTCCTGTAGAGTAGCTGATAGGTTTGAATCACCGACCTTTCTTTCAGCAGCTGAGCTCTTTCATCTCTGCACCACCAACCCATCTCCCAGATTATTTTTCTGTAGGAACACAATTTTTAGCAAGTCAAAAAATGTCATGGAACCCCCTTCAGTAGCCTCAGGGAGAAAGTTTGGAAGCCACATCACCTAGAATGTGTCTGCAATACTTTGAGCAGGAGGGTGTTTGGTATACCCCCACGTAGCCCTGCTTTCTGGTACTGGCAGTGTGATGAACTGTCGTGTATTTTTGTTTTCTCTTTACGCTGCTTCTCCTTAAAGTGCGAGGAAGCTTTATTAGCTTTTTGCCATCTGTTTCATTGATGTTTTTCAGTGAGGCCAGTGAAAGAAGCATCAGGAAACAGCTGGTCTGGGTCCTCTCAACATTGACTCTTATCTGTAGTTGATCTCAATCCTAGTTTTTGAAAGTAATGCTTGAGAAAGCTTCTATTTGAAGAATTTTTGGCTTTTTCAAATTAAAGTAGCAGAGTGGCAGAGTGTTAGAGTCTTAAATGGAAAGTGAGTTCAGGTGGTCACCACTCAGCTTATGGGAAGTGTTTGATTCAACAACCCCTGCTTTAAGGAACATTCTTAAAAGGGACAAAAGAAAGGGATTTACCTTTTAAGTCTTCTGTTTGTAGAGTTGATGTTATCTGGGAAAGTTCAAGGTGGGGAACAATGAGCAGCAAGTTGCCTCTGGGTGATGGTGACAGGTGGTCACTCTTCTTTACAGCGTCTGCACATTGAGGGTCTGGGTAGCAGGTGGCTTCTCCAGATCCTGCAACCTTCAAGTTCATGTCACTGCCTGCAGGGTAGAGGGTATGTTTGAGGGCGGGAGAATCGCTTAGCAGGATGCTGTCCATAGTTGTAGCCAGTGGAAAGGGGACTTGATGTGACGAGAGATGCGCGGGATGAATTCAAGGGAGAAGTCACAGGGACCCCTAAGGCTCTGGCGTGTGCTCTGGGTGAGCAGTGATAACGTGATAGGAGAAGAACTAGGGAAGGAGGCACAGGAGGGTAGAGGGGACTGCTGTTTGGGTACCAGGTGGAGGTCTGGGGTGGAGATGGGGGCTGCTGGGATGACGAGCTAGGAGCGACTGAGAGGCACCAAACGAGGGTGCGAGCGCCCCTCCAGTCTCGGCAGCCATGATTCAGGTTGCTTCCCCTCCCGAGGTGTCTGTTCCCACCAGCACCGTAGTCCATTGTCAGGTGTCCAGGGTGGCTCTTTCATGGTGGAGATCAGGAAAAGGAAATACTTTCACGGGCTGGGAGCATGGAGAGAAGAGAAAAGAACACTAAGAATGAGATCTGACTCACTTTTTTTGCTTTCTTGTGGAAATCACTGTATTGAATTAAGAAAAGATAGTTGCTGTTGAGCTGATTGGACTCGTGGCAGCCCCGTGTGTGCAGAGCAGAGTGACACGCCATGGGGTTTTCAGGGCGGTGGCATTCCCAAGGCACCTCTGGATAGGCTCTGACTGCCAGCCTTCTGGTTAGCAGTAGAGTGCTTCACCATTTGCACCACCTCAGTTTAAATTTATCGCCAGAGACTGTCAGTGAAAGATGGTGGGCCAAACCCCTGCATTGTCTTGACTCCTTCCCCAAACCCCAGTAACCTGTTAATACAGATACTTAAAAAGGCTTAAACCTGTGAGGATAGGGAGAATGAGGAAGGAGACACTAGCCACCCACTTTTGGAAGCTAGCAAGTGGCAGAGGCAGCGAGTTCCTAAATCTGGTGCTGGAGGTAGCAGAGAAGCAGCCGCAGAATCCCCCAAGATCTGGGGCTGGGCGGGTGAGGGGACCTCAGCAAGTGGGTAAAGGGGTTTGTGTGGGCAGCATCGAGAGGACTGGATCAGGGTGTGCTGCTCCCCCACTCTGGCTCCGGAGCATGTGTGCGGGACTCTGGGCCGGGCCCCAGGCTCAGTGGAGGCAGGGTACAGTAGTGATATGGTGGGAGAAACCATTGGCCCGTTTCTTCCTTTGTTATTAACCGATCCCACTTGTTGACTTTTAAAAAATCACCACATGAGCATTTACTGGGGAAGATAGTTCTTCCCTTCCCTGTGCACCCCCGCCCCCATTCCCGGGCCGGCCGTTGGATGGCCGGGCTGATGATTAAAACCAGAAACTCCAAAGGGGCTGGGTGGGGGGTGGGAGACCCCGTCATTGGTGTTAGAGGTGAAAATGGCAAACTTTTTGTTGACAGTCATCCTTTTAAAGTTTCTACCTTTACTGATAACAGCGGGCACTCAGGCTACACTGTGTGTGTGTGTGTGTGGTGTCTACACACACACACACACACGCTTCTCCACGCAGAGGGCATGGGTGGGTCAGTGGGAGGATGCAGTGTGGACGTCTCTTCCTAGGATCAGCCAGTGGGGGCCCTGTGGGCCACAGCAGTCTCAGCCACAGCCAGTGGGGGGCCGACCGAGCAGCAGGGCCGTCAGTGTGCGTGAGGCCACCATGAGTCAGCGCCAGCTAACAACTTCTGTATGTGGCACATACCGCTGCTCTGTGTGTGCGTGAGTGTATTAGGGGCGTGTGTTTACGTTTCCTAATGATAAAACCAGCCGAACCAGCTCCCACAGGTCAGAGTACCATTGCCCGACCCGGGCTTTCATGGCTGTGGCCCCCCAGAAGCTGATCCCCAGGCCTGCCCACTGAGGCGCCCTGCACGGGTGCATCCCTTTCGGTTGTCCACGCAGGGACTCCTCCTCAGTGATGGGCACATGATCAGTTTTGGAGACCACGGGATGAAAATCCTAGTTGAGGGGCTGAATCTAAGTCAGTTCCTGGATCTAGAACGTCACCCTCGATCAGCCCAGCCGGAATGGGTCCTGCCCATCGGGAGCCATGAGAGCCTGGGGGGTGGGAGACCCGCTTCGAAGGCTCATTAATCTTGCCCAGGGGAGAGGCCCTTTCTAAGCCTATCTTACCCATAATGCTAATAAGCTTGGGATGCGGTTTCCAAGTCAACAAGAAATTAGAAAGGAGACTGTTAATGACAGACATAATGGTTACAAAGAAGAGTGACAACGATCAGCCAAACAAAAGGTGGAAAAAAATATTCTTAAAAACTCAACCATTTTATATTTGATGTAGGTACACAAAACCTATGCCTCATTAAGGTCAGAGAGGGCCCCCTGTATCATGACACTGTAATGTGTCCTTTAGTGATGTGAACCCAGGAAAATGTCAAGAATTTGCTATCCTCACCTTTTAAGAAAGGAGCCCTGGTGGTACAGTGGTTAAGTGCTTGGCTAATAACCTGTAGTTCAGCGGTTCAAACCCACTGGCTGCTCCAGAGGGGGAGGAGGTGGCAGTCAGCTTCCATAAAGACTGACAGCCTGGAAAACCCTGTGGGCAGTTCCACTCTGTCCTCTAGGGGCGCTGTGGGTCAGAGTGGACTCCACAGCAGTGGGTGTGGTTTGGGCTTTGTTTCTGTGAAGATTGACAGCCTTGGAGACCCTGTGGGCAGTTCCACTCTGTCCTCTAGGGGCGCTGTGAGTCGGGAGTGACTCAATGGCAGTGGGGTTGGTTGGTTTTTGGTTTTAAGAATACGAGAAGGTACATGGTTTCAAAACAGTTTTTTTATCCAAAATGGAGGTACTTAAAGTGGCGATCCTTAGTTATCTGGAAAACAGGTTTTTCTAACCACAATTTTCCAGAAGTTCTGGGTTGCTAGGATATTTTATTTTTGGCCTTCCTAGATATTCTTGTATTTTTGCTGACTCTTTTATTACTTTCAAAATATTTACGGTAATGATGCCCACCTAATGTACTTCATTGATGTTAGTCTGATATAATGAAGTATATTTGCAAAGAACAATGATAGGATCTGATAGTTTTTTCTTTTCAAAGATGAGCCAATGCAATTTTAAAAACTTAATAGTGCTCATGGCATCTCCCTTCTTAGAATATATTTCTTCTACGTATGTGTGAAAAAAAACCAGAGATCAAGTTTTTAGTAGAGACATGACCATTCAGATAGCCCTCACTTTTGTCTTGAAGTCCAGAGCCTCAGAGGGTGAAACGTCAGCCTTCGTTACCCCGTTTTCTGGATCCTTTTCCACCTCCACTTGTTTTTGTGTCCTGAACATTAAAGACGAGCGATGATCCTAGTGGCTGACTCTTCTCTTCTTCCACTGCTTCCTGCTTCTTTCTGTCCTCTTTGCTTTTTAAAAATTGTTTTGTTAAGAAAATACACAGCACAGTGCACCCCAGTTCAGCTCTTTGCACCCATACAATTCAGTGACTTCAGTTACAGTCTTCGAGTCGTGTAACCATTCCCCCTGCTTTCTGAGTTGTTGCTCCCCCATTAACACAGACTCCCTGCCCCTCAACTTCCTGTCTGATCTTTCCAGTCGCTCTGCTCGTTTCTGTAGCTGCTGTTGAGTCAGTTTCAGGTCAGAGGTCCTGGGTCATGCTCACAATTGGTGCTGTGCTTGGTCCCATGAAAGCCAAAACCCACCCCAGGCGGGTGGTTCTCGAGAGCCTAACGCTCAAGGCATGCGTCGCGTGCCAGGTAAGCTAAGCTTTTGTTTGATGTTCAGAAGACTTCAGGGGGTAGTTGTAAAGATAATCTCAGGACAGCAGTATCACAGATGCAGCTCGTCTCCACGGCTCCAGGAAGTCTGGAGTCCAGGGAGTTTGAGATTCTGCTCTTCGTCTCCTCGGCTCTCCTTGCTGTGGTTGTCCTCGTCAGTCGGGTTCAGGAGGGTGGCAGTCGTCTGATTGGGACGTGTTTCACGCAGTGGCACAGAGCTGTGCTCGGGGATCTAAAGAGTTCTCAGGGGACCCCCAGGCTGCTTCGCCGAAGCAGGGTGTGAGCAGAGTCTGGACTCTTGTGTGACCTCTCAGGCGGGACCTTGCTTTTTTCTCCTGAGCCAACTCCATGGTCTGCTGGTTCGGGTTCCAGGTCAGCTGTGAGGGCCGTTTGGTTCCCAGCCACTGCTCAGCACACAGCGCCCTGACGGAGCGTCGCTTCTCCGGGGCCTCAGTGGGCGCAGAGGGGCGCAGCGTCCCCGCTGGGTCGGCAGTCCGTCTCAATGTTAGCCTGTCAGCTCCTTGCCCTCTCCGTCGGCCCTCACATGGGCGAGGCGTGCACCCGGGAGCCTGGGAGAGCTGGAACAGCCTCGCCCTTGGAGTTTCCCGCCTTTGACGAGCTGCAGCCTCACCTCTTCCCTGTTGCTCTCTTGGTGGAGCGTGTTGGAATTTTCTTCCACTGACATGGTTCTGGCTTTCACACGTTTTACCGTCCATCACGTCCCCTCAGGAGTCCCCGTGGGCTTTGGGGGAATCGATGGCTCTGGGCTCCTTGCCTCCATTTCAGTCTCAGACTTGCCTTTTACAGCTCAGACTTCACCTTTCAGTTTTTATGGGTTTAAATAAGAGTACTGCCTGTCTCTGTTTTGTCGGCGCCCATATGTCCCTGGCCCCGAGTTGTGTCCTTCTCAGTCCCTTCTTCCCTCCTTTCCTCCCAGCTGCTGTCCCCTGGTACGACCCTGACCTCACCTCTGCTCGAGTTTGGATGACGATGGCCGTGATTTGGTGATGTGGGGGCGAGTTGTACATGGTCACTGTCTACACGTCTCAGCTCTTATTTCTGCATTTGGCTTTTTTGCAGGTCCCTAGCTGTTGGTAGTAAGTCCGGTTATAAGTTTTTCTCCCTTTCTTCTGTGGATAAGCTGGAACAGATCTATGAATGCAGTAAGTGTTTGCTTTATTTTTTTCCCCTTTAAAAAAAAAAATAAAAAAGATAAGTTGTATTTGAATTAGAGCACATTCTTGTGTCCAGCACTGGTTTAACTCCTGACACCCCGTGACCAACACGCTTCTTCGGCGTGGTCTCCACAAGAGCTGCCAGCTGTTAACATGTGGACTGTGTTCCTCCCAGTCATTTCTGCCCACTGGCGCCCACCCAGGTGCACGTGCAGAAATAGCTCTGCTTTATGGCTTGTCTCTTTAAATACATGTATTTCCCTCTTTCTCATGCCATTTAAACCATTGCCGTTTCTGTCTTAAAGGCCTTCCAGAGAAGAGGACACCCTGTAGTCCCAGTGAGAACAGTTTTTTTTCTTAGCGTATCCTTTGAGGGCCCTGAGTAGCCTCCCTGTTGGAGAGGAGTAGGAATAGCAGGATGTCACTCACTCAGCTACCGCCTGTAGGCTTTTGGGTGGATCACGCCACTATGAGCCTCCTCAGTAATACCTGTCTAAAGACTGGTTAGCGAGGTGACAGACACAACTAACAGTGTGTCGTACGTGGTCCCCTTTGGCGTGGCGCTCGCTGAATAGAGGAGAGGAGCAGCTGTCCGCCTCCCCTGGTGAGAATGATGGAAAGCTGAGCCCCTCTCCACTTCCCATAACTTTGAAAAAATGGAGATCACTGTGGCTTCACGGGCCGTGACAAGGACTGGTACAGACCCGGGCGTCCTTTGCCCAGCTCCTGCTGGTGGTTACAGATGTGGTGAGATGGCACGGCCAGGGTATTGACACCGATGGCAGTCTGCAGTCTCGCTCCGACTGCCCCAGCTCACTCTGCTCATGTGTATGGGTGTCCTGATTCTATATGGTTTTGTCCTGTGTCCTGCAGCATAGTCCCAGCTCTGCACACCACAAGGGTCCCTCCCACCATTGCCTAGCCCTAACCCCTGGCCACCACCAGTCTGTCCTCCCTTTCTAATACTGCTGTTTCAGAAGTGTCACCTAAGTGGAGCTCTGGAATCTTGCAGGGTTGGGGTCTCTGCTTCACGTGGTCCCTAGAGGCTCGGTCAGGTGTGTGTGTGTGTCAGTCAGGTTAGTTCTCTTGTTGCTGAGGAGTATCCGTGGTGGGGATGCGCCACAGGTCGTCTGGTTTCTCGCCTACCATAGGACGCCTGGGCTGACTCCAGTGCGGGGCTCTCAGCAGTGAGCCTCTTTGAATGCTCACGCACCGGTTTTTGTGTGAATGTATGTTTTCATCTCTCTGGGATGATGTCCAGGAGTGCAGCCCCGTGATTGGTATGGGAGGTCCAGTTTCCCCACGTCCTTGCCAGCACTAGCTCTTGTCCTGTTTATTGTAGCCATTCTGATAGCCATGTAGTACTATCTCTTTGGTTTTAATTTGCATATCCCCAGTGGCTAATGTTGTTGAACATCTTTTCATCTATCTGTTTGCCATCTTTGTGTCCTCTGCAGTGGAGGCCTGTTCATGTCTCTTGCACACTTTCTTGTGGATTGATTGTGTTTTCACTATTGAGTTTTGCAGTAGCTGGCGTGTATCATAGATACTATACTAGTCTTTGGTTGGCTTTGTGGTTTATCAGTTTTGGCTCCCTGATATGTAACATTTTGAGCAGACCCCTGACGCCTGCCCATGGCCTTGGCCTAGGTGAAGGACCCTTGTATTAGAGAGCAGAGGAGTTCCGGATTCACAGTCTCCTTACTTGTACTTAGTCACGCTGGAATTTGGGTTCAAGGATATTTGCCCCTTAAGATTTTACGTGGGCATGAAGTTTTCGGGAGCAGTCCTTATTTTATTTTTCAAGTACATTTTATTGAAATATGATTTATGTACAGTGAAATACACAAAATTAAAGTGACATGGGTCAAAGCTTTATTTATTTATTTGCAGTGTTCCCCCGACCCCTGGTAACCAACAAAGTTTCCTTCCATATATAAACCTTTCCTTGACTTTTTACAATAATGAACTAATACTATATTTGTCCTTGTGTGATTGACTTATTTCACTCAGCATAATGTCCTCCATGTTCATCCATGTGACGTGTTTTGCAGATTCTTTTATTCTTTAGGGTTGCGTAGTATTCCATTGTGTGCATGTACCATGGTTTGGTTATCCGTTCTTCTGTTGATGAGCACCTAGTTTGTTTCCATCTTTTTGCTCTTGTGAAGAGTGCTGGAAGCTGTCCTCATTAAAAACACCAGGAGCTCCTTCCTGAGGGCACCGTGTCCTGAGCTCTGCCCCCACTGTGGGACCTGCTGTCTCTGCGAGGATCGCCCTTTGTCAGGGCTTGGCTGCTTAACGTTTAGGCACATCTCACTCATGTTCTTGTTTCCGTTCATCCAGTAAACACTTTTGTCAAGGACTTGCCATATGCCAGGTCTGTCCTGCCCACGAGAGAGATGGCAGTGGTGAGATTTCTGTTCTTGTGGCCCTTAACGCTTAAATGGAGGAGGACGGATGAGAGACTAGTGCCTGTGTTTGTGTAGGACATTGGGCTTGGGATGCAATGGCAAGCAAGCCTCAGTGTGAGTGTTGTGGTGGTTGTTGGCAGCCGTCACGTTGACCCCAGCTCATGGCGACCCCCTGTATTGCAGAGGAGAGCTGCTCTGGGGGTGTTCTGGGCTGTAATGTCTATGGAAGCAGGTTGCCAAGTCTTCCTTCTGCAGAACGGCTGCATGGGTGAGCAGTCTGTCACCACCTGTAGCGTGAGTGAAAGGCCCCTGGGTGGCACAGATGGTTTGTGCTCGACTGCTGACCGAAGGGCTGGCAGTTGGAACCCACTCAGACTTGCTGCTGGCTGGTCAGAATTGGCTCAACAGCAGCGGGTTGACAGACGCTGAAGACCCAGGAAGGAAGCAGCTTCTTGCGCAGGGACCTGACGCCGAAGCACCTCTGGCTGCCGGTTAGGGCCCTGCAGGCTCCCTCCCGGGCCCTGTCTGCGGCCCCTACTCCCCTTCACGCCTGCCTGCCTCCAGGAACTCTCGCTTGCCCCTCCTGTCATCACCTCCACAGCAAGCCCTTTGCTGCTACTGCTCCGGACAAGCATCTGGGCCCTTTAAAGGGAGGTGGTGTGAGATTGGGGAGGAAAGGGAAATTATTGCAGTCAGCGTCCCTGACTCCCGGTTCCCACCTGGCTGGCTCAGTCACTAGTCCTGTCTGTCTTTCGGCTCGGCTGCTGGCGCTGACCATGTCTTCTCAACAGCCCCTCTAGTGTGGAGGCTGAAAGGTGGGGTCAGGTGATAAAATAAGTGTGAACCATGTGCTGGCGGGGCCCGGGTGGACGTGGGTGTCTCTGAAGATCACCAGCGGGGGCGTCTGTGGGGCTTCTGTCCCACACAGTGGTACCCAGAAGACATTGCTTCAGAGGTGGGTGGTCTGCGGTCTCTGGGATCACCCTTTGTCAGGGCTGGGCTGCTTAACGTGTAGACACATCTTGCTCACCCCTCCTCTCTCATATTGTTTTGGTAAAATCTTTTGATAGTGTTAAGTATTTAATTTTTAGGGGGTCCCAGTTAATCTAGTTTATCTTCTGTTGTTTGTGGATTTTTAGTTGTGTTTGGTGTGTTTATGCCTAAAGTTAGGGCCCGACCTTTGTCTCTGTGTTATCTTCCAGCACCTTTATGGTTTTAGTCATTTAGATCATTGATTCATATTTTAGTTTTCGTGTATGTGGTGAGATGGGTCATGTTTCATTTTTCTGTAAATGGATATCCAGTTTTGCCAGCACTGCTTATTAGAGACCGTCTGTTCCTCATTGAGGGAGCTCTGGTGGTGTAGTGCCTAAGGCACTTGACTGCTAACCAGAAGGCTGGTGGTTCAAACCCAAGGAGGGGTCACTATGAGTCGGATCCAACTCGATGGCAGTGGGTTTATTTTTTTGGGGTTATTCCTCATAGAATGGTCAAAGTTCAGTTGTCTGTAGATGGATGAACTCTGGATTCTCAGTTCTGTTCCGTTGGTCTCAAGCTTTGGTATTTTAAACGACCTCATATGCATGCAAAAGCTGGGCAGTGCATAAGGAAGACCAAAAAAGAAACATTTGAGTTACAGTGAAGAATATTGAATCTACCGTGGGTCGCCAGAAGAACAAACAGATCCATCTGGGAAGAAGTGCAGCCAGAGTGTGCCCCTTGGAAGTGAGGAGGGTGAGACTTTGCCTCACTTTGGATATTTTGTCAGGAGAGACCAGTCCCTGGAAAGGACATCATGCTCCGTGAAGCAGAGGGTCAGTGAGAGGAGGAAGACCCTTCAGTGAGATGAAGTGACACAGTGGCTGCAAGAATGGCTGAAACATGCAGTGACCGCGAGGGTGGCGCAGAACCCGGCGTTGCTTTGCTCAGCGGTGCACAGGTCACTGAGTCGGAGCCAACTTGATGGTCCCAAACGTTGTCAGCTCTGTGTTTGGTGTTTATACGGGGGTCTGTGTTCACCACCTTCGTTCCCATTGCTATTGGTGTTTATACGGGGGTCTGTGTTCACCACCTTCATTCCTGTTGCTGTTGGTGTTTATATGGTGGTCCGTGTTCACCACCTTCGTTCCCATCGCTATTGGTGTTTATATGGGGGATCCGTGTTCACCACCTTCGTTCCTGTTGCTATTGGTGTTCATACAGGGGATCCGTGTTCACCACCTTTGTTCCCGTTGCTAAAACAGTCTTGTTTTTTTCCCCATCAGTCCATGTAGCCACTGGCAGTTTTTATATTTAAGAAGAAGTAACAATGCTGACCTTCCCCATTCCCGCGCCGAGACCCTGGTAAACACCCACTCCTAACTTACCTGCACGGTTGATTTCTAAAGACCAGGCTGTTACGTGAAGATGGAGGGTGACTACATCCTTACCCTGAAATCAAACCGAACCCATTGCCATCGTGTTGATTCTCACTCATAGTGACCCTGTAGGGCAGGGTAGAGCTGCACCCTAAGTTTTCCAAGGCTGTCAATCTTGGCGGAAGAAGACTGCCTCTCTTTATCCCACAAGTGACTG